TGCACGCCAATGTGATTGCACACCGGCAAGTGTGCTTGTGCATGCATGTGTTTGTCCACGTTAGTGTGTGGGTGATATACAATCCATCAGGGAAGCTGAGGAGTGTTCCTTCCTTTTGTGCACGTCGTCCCCCAGCCTCATTAGAACCCATTCAGTCAATCAAGCATGAATCCCTAACACAATAACATGCAAAGTGCTTTGTCTGGGTGTAATTGGCCTTGCCAGAGCTGTTTCTCTCAAACGGTTAGCTTCACTCGCCTCCCTCAGACCGCAGCCAGGAGCGCTGTCCAACAAATGCAGCTGGCCCGAGAAGGATGGCGAGATAATATGAGGAAAAGAAAAAGCGATAGAGATAAGGAACCAAATACTTAAAAGAGCAAGATGGAGAGGCGAGTATAGCTCCTTAACAGGTACATTTTTTTGTAATAAATATATAAAGTATTTATTTAATAACTTAAGCCACCGTGTGTGTCAGTACTGTGTGTGTGTTTATCAGTACTGTGTGCGGTCATCTAGAACTGCTGTCGGTCACAATCACACGTGTTCCCATTACCATGACAAACCAGTTGACATCCCATTTCCCCGACACACACACACAAAAACACCACACACGCAAGAACCTACACACAGGAAGGCATAATGGGAGATGGATAACACATGGGGTGCAGAAACATGGCCCGTCTGTATCCCCGTAGGAGCGACTGTTTGTTCGCTATGATGGGTGACACGACTGACTGACACTTTTGTGCAGTCCAACCCAACAGCCAATCTACTGAAATTGTGTGGTGACATTGTTGATTAAGCAGACATACACTGGATGGTGTGTGAGTCGTTACAGTGCTGTGGTTTCATTGGTACTGTGAGATGCAGTGTCAATGTATGACATTATACGGATGGAGAATGTTCTGTATGTGTGTCACATGCGCATTTCAAGGACGGCAAATGTAACTGTAAATATCAATGGGGAACATTTGACTTTGAATCACAGGTTTTGCAGGACTCGACCAAGGCAACAGCACCCTAAACTGCTGAAATCATCATCAGCAGTCAAGTACTGCCATCTAGTGACATTAAAAAGAGCTTCTTCCAACAAAAATACAGCCAGAAATGATTAACTACATTAAACACAGAGTCACATTTAATGGAAAAGCTGAACTTGCAAAACACTTTAATTACTGAGGCTGTTTGAAATGGACACAGCAGGGTCAGTGTTTACTTTACAATTCATGAATTCATCTTCCTGCCATGCATCCTGTGTATCTTTTTCACTCTATCCTGGATCTCTCAGCCCTCCTCAGATCAATAGCTTTGTTTGGTCCAGCAACACCTCCCAGTGTTTTCACTTGTCTCTCCCTGCAGGATGGGAATTAGACGTCCTGTCCTGTGCAGTGGTTATGCTGTGAATCAGAAAAGCCAAATTAAATTACCTAATTGGTTTCCATGGGAAGGGTAAAACAGATTTAAATTGATTACCCGTAATGGCCTTTTGTGGAGCCACATTGGCTTCTGCTGTTTGAGGAGGATTTAGCAAAACCAATTAATTTGCTTCACCTCTTACGCGCCCTCCTTGTGTTTCCCTTTGTCCCTGTCTGGGAGCTTTTTCATCTTTTGCGTTTTCCACTTCCTAATGCCCTCCTTCATTCCCCTAAAAATAAAAGGGATGATGACGATAACGTCACTGGATAACAATCATTCAGGCCTAATTGGCTGACTACTGTCACATTCCGGTGCTGATCAAATGTTTTTTTTCCAGGTCTCCTGTTACGAGACTGGCCTGACAAAAGATAATTTAAATCTCTCTTTCAATTACGTCGGCTGGGCCTGTTTCCTTCCACACGGCTCACTGTTGCCGATTGCTTCAGCTGAGGGAAAAGTAAGATGTCAAGGTTAAAATTTGTCACACAAGCTGATTAAATCCCCTAATATGTTCTCCCTGTCTCTGTATCCCTGCTTCTGTGTTTCTCCAGCTCCCATCAAATATCTTCATTACCAGACCTAATGTGACATTTTAATGTGAAGATTACAATTACTTAATGTGATTTCATTAATAACACGGAGTAACTATTGTGTATGATTAAAACAGATGTCATCTACCACATGGGAAAAGGAGAACAATCATTTTCTTTCATGTTTTTCTTTTTTTCCCCAGCATACTATAAAATATGAGGCCATATCGTGAAGTCAGCATCATCTGTTACTCAGTTTTTTTGACTGGGCAAAGTGCGAATGGTGTACTGAACCTTTTCCAGCTTTATTGCTTGCAGTAAAATCAAATGCAGCTAGGCTGAATGGCCCATGACAAATGAACAAAATAATTTCAAGCATTGTAAATGTATTTATAGCCAACTTTATGGATTACAGTTGAGAGAAGCAAACTTCCACTGCCTAAGGTTAAAGAAATATGCAAAAATAATGGTTTGAGTACTTCTTGTTTAGCTGGATTACATGCGAAACCCTTGAGCATTACAAATTGCAACTGAAAGAAAGATTTTGTGATGGTATTATTTTATTCACATATGGCGATGGTTTTGCAAATTTGTATTAACAAGAGTTCGTACATGTAACCCGGGGAACAATGTTTAGTGTACCAGCTTGACCTTGATGGGTAAAGGAAATGGGATGTTATACACATATTCGGTACTGATGGCTGTTACTGAGGGCAGAGCTGCGGGGGCAAAAGAAGAAAGATCCATTGGCATACAGGCGAGATTAATTACATATTCTCTGGTAAAACCTTTGACTGTAACTGTGCTCGGGGCCAAGCTGAAAAGCGGGTATGCAGGTTTTAGACTACAAAAGTTTTACCCGAAAAAGGAGAAAATAAATAGTAAGCATGGAATATGTTCAGTCGCCTTAAGTTGATCCATCAGAACTCTGCACAGGCCAAGAAAATGTTGTTGTATTCACTTATTTGAATCCATGATCATGTAGGGTTCTGGCTATTCTGACTTATTCCCACACTCCAGATTCTGTGATATATGAGAAATTAAATTAGTATCAGTGGTTTTCGGAAGCCGAGGATACAAAATATATGTCTTTCATGGCTCCATTTCTGCAGTTACTTAATTACAGTTTATATGGAACCAGATTGTCAAGGATGGGGCGGCTCAAGTGTTACGATGGGTAGATTTGACAGGTAAGGGGAAGAGTCTGATCTAGAAAGCAAAATTCTGTCCGTCAAATATTTTTAACATAATAAAAGTTCTAAATATTGTGTGAGTAGCAAAAGTGTGTTATTTCTCCCTCCTTGTGTTAACTTGCTGTATATGTTAAAGGTGCCTTATTATTCTTTTTTGAGTTTTCCCTTTCCTGTAGTGTGTTATGTAGGTTTGTGTGCAAGTAAATGGTCTACAAACCATCTACTTCCGTAACATAGGGACATCATTTTGTAACACAAGCACTTCTATTGGCAGCATTGTATGTTACATCTCTAAGCTGTCCCAGCCAGCTAACCAATCAGAGCAGACTGGGCTCTGGTTTCAGACAGAGGATGAAAAGAGGTGTTGCAGCACAGGCAGTAGGAGAAAAATAAAGACCTTTTTGAACATTAAAGCATGTAGACATGTTACAGTAGAGGCACAAAATACAAATATGAATCTGAAAATTAGCACAATGGGGCCCCTTTTAACATTTACACACAGATCTTCTTTCACTTTTACCTCTTCCTGTTCTGTGGTTGCTTCCCCACCTCCTATGTGAGAAATGAATCTACGACAACCTTTTACAAACCGCTGAAGAAAGTACAAATGTATCCTGTAAAGACTGAGCTAGAAAATTCGATCCAATCAAACAATTACAATGATAGCATAAAAGACCAAAGAGGAGATATTCTTTCACCAAAATGAAACTTGCTGCTCATCTGAAATTCCCTGCCCACAGCTTTTATCTTTGACCTGTGGTTTGCAAGCATCTAAGTATAAGGTCAGACTTTTTGATAAACAAACACAGTTGTTTGAAGTGAATCCTTTATTTCAGACAAAACTGGTTTGATCAATGAACCCAGATATAAGATAAAGCCTCAAGATATGAGAATAAAATCTGCTATAAACATTCAACTTGTCTGAAGCAGTGCTCGGCCATGTGCACATATCTTCAAACTATGACCAAAGCAAGTACATTTATAGTGTTAAAAGACACTACTCACCTTTCTTAATGTATTTTTGCACAGCGCACATTTTACTGTAAAACCCATCAGCCTTGACTGAGGCTACCTGCTTGGTAGACATACAGGGCAGAGAAGTGTAAGTTACTTCATGTTCTCTGGGAATCTTAAGGCAGTTGTCATTTAGACATTTAAATCTAGATGTGAGCACACATTTATTGATTGTAATTATTTTGGAAATAATAAAATGCACAGTTTGAAAAGCAATAAGTGGAAGAGGATACTATTATTTCCTGTCATAGTTTATGTTGTCTTTTGACCTTGGTTGGTGATTGGCTAATGGTTACACAAGCCAAAAAAATCGTTATGACATCATAAAGTAGCCAAAATCTGATCAGCTCATTTTCAGACAGGTTTTTATATAAATGGATCAGGACAAAAAGTGAGAGAATCTTTTTTCCTGAAACTTTCAGAATCTCTTTACACAGAGGGGACACATGTTTATGTATAAAAGACAGGAAAAAGTGGATTTTGCATAATAGGTGACCTTTAAATAAAACACATCTGACACAGTCTAAAGAACAATAAGAAAATGTAATTGTTAACAAATCAGAGCAAATAGATTACAAGTGATGTCTTGCTACAGTTGCACTATCAGGCTTTACTAAGGCATGTTTTAGCTTTGAGTGAAACGCTAATGCCAGCAAGCTATACTGTGCCATTTCATGGATGTGAGACATTTCACTTAAAAACTAAACCAACCGTGGTGGCACAAAAGTCAAAGTGTCATATTCCAGGAACCATACTGCACACTATTCATGTCATTTGTCTTGATAAACAAAATATTTATCAATACATTAGTACTAAAATTATGTTGGACAATAAAAATGACACATCATTTACATAGAAATGTTTGTTTTTTATTCTCTACATTTTTCAAGAATTGTTCTATAACCCCATAATGTTTCTCTATGAAATAAAGGCAAATGATGCATCACGTTCCTCCACCTCACTTAGGAAAGTCCTGGACCTGAAAATCCAATAAACATGAATTACAACCAGTAAATAGACATTAAACTGCGGAGTGCATTCACACATTATTTCGGATACATCTATGCAGACTCCCAGAAGTTAAACTTAGTTAAATAGCATCTTGAAAAAGCATTAGGTCATAAATAAATAAAGTTTGCTCTCACCTGCTCAGACCAGGGGGTAGCTGGATGCAGTAGCAATGCCACACTGGTTGTGTTTGTTCCTGCTCATCTTGATGTATCCCTGGTCTCCCCATCCGAGGCCCCAGCTACAGAAACAAACACATTACCAACAACTTTCAGCCCCTCTATGTAAAGAACTACAATATGAGTACCAACTGCAAGTACAGACTTAATGATTGTTTTACTGATGAAAGAGAAATTATAGTAGAAATGAATTTTAAGTTAAGTTGAAGAGGCTGACAATAACCTGAGTTTGACTTAATTTGACAGCTATAAATAAGACACATAACTGCTGCTGTTTGTGGAAACAGGAACTTTCTTAATTCACTACTAAGCGTTAGTAGGAAAACGGTCCATACATTTAAATATTAGTACCATATTTTGGTATTTACCTGTTCTTCACCAGCCAGTAGTCCTGTCCATTGCCACTGCCGTAACCCACAGCCAGTACAGCATGGCCCAACTTTGAGCTCTTGCATTTTGGCTCATCGTACACTCCTAGAAACACACAAAGCCACATAAAACAGACATTTGGGTTAAAAAAAAAGTACATTTGATAATATTTTCTGTCAGAGAATATACGTGTTTATAAAAGTTCACCTGAGTGATACAGCTTGAAGGATGCATGAGAAACATCAATGGCCACAGACACAGGTCCCACGGTGGCCACAGCTTCTTTCAAGGCAACTTCGTCTCCTTGGTTCACGCGGACGTAGCCTGTGCATGTGGCAGCGCTATAGGCAAGGTTGTGACGGCATTTACCATCCTATTTGGAAGACAAAATTAAACAATTGACAAAATGTGGAAATGTCTTACGTGGAGGGCCAACATTTTGAAAACATTACGAATGAGTTGAGTTCCATCAGGATAGTTCCTAGCAGGATTATGATGGCATATATAATCCTATTTGAAGGGAGAACATTTACAATTGACCTTCTTTTAAAAAAAAGTTAAGATGTGAACATATCTTAAACGGAGGGCCAACATTTTGAAAACATTACGAATGAGATGAGTTCCATCTTCAACTATACTTTTTAGCATGTTAATGACACATTTCTATCTTACACAGGATGCTGTACATTCAAAGAAGAACCAAACAGATTGTGTTTACCTTAGCCCGATAAGGGTAGGAGTCCTCTGTTTCTATCCCTCCGTTAGTTGCAATGTACCTAAAGGCTTTGTTCATCCAGCCTCCATTGCACCCATGATTGTCGTTGGTGCAGTCCACCAGCTGCTGCTCGCTCAGAGACACAAGCTTCCCTGTCTTCCTGAAGATCTGACCCTCCAGCGAGCCAGTCTGAAAGAGAATTTAGTTAAATGAAACCAAAAGACAGTAGTATAAAATGTCCTGCAAAGTAGAGGACACCAAGTAATGTGTGTACATAGTACATACTGTGCTGAAGGCCCAGCAGGAGCCACAGTGCTTCTGATCCTTGACTTCAGTGACATATCCCTTATCCCTCCAGTCAACACTGTTGGGCAGATCGGTTTCTCCAGGCAGTCGGAAAAAAGCAGGACCAGTTTGAGGCAGAGAAGTGTTGAAGAAACCGAGGCAACCCTTGGAAATCAGGTGTCTGTACTCTTCATTTTCCTGATAAAGAAGAGCAAAAGTTTCATTTATTAGGGTCTTTAACTAAAACGCCATTCACTGCATCCTCACATGCTGATTACAACCAATAATAACAGTTTGTCATAAAAGTTAAAAACAAAAATACTTCCGAAACTATTTGTGTTTTTCTATACATACCATGTCAGCGAATTTGGTCATGCCAAGGCGGTAGGACTTGATGCCCTGATCAGCCATGATGTTGTGCTTCTGCACCAGTCTGCGGTTGTTGAGCCAGATTTCCCTGCGCTGAGCCTCCTCTACCGGGGAGTTGTAGGACCTTCCTGCCAGCAAATTAGAAACAAAAAGACTGATTCTCTGGTAAACAGATTTCCCTTTATTAACTAAAAAACAAAATTGTATGCTGTAAACTTCTTAACACGTAGGCAGATCACACATTCCTTTACTTTAGACGTTTAGCGGTGTTGTGTGTAAATGAGTATACATTTAGCACACTCCAAATGCAAGCCTCACAGGCAGTTTTTCCAATGAAAACAGATCTACTGTGATCGACAACAGACCGCAATATGAAAAATGTCACCAAATATTGTCTCACCAAACTGGACTTTCCAGGCGTGGAACTCCAGGTCATCTGAAGAGATGGAGGCACAGCTGGCCACGGCCAGAGCAGCAGCAGCAACCAACAACAGCTTCATCCTGACTGACACACAAGCAGAAAAAGCAAATAGATCCTTTGTTATTTACAGAAAATCATACAGGTTGAGATTAAACTCTTTCACTTCCACTTTTTCTCACCAACAATGTATCTATTTCCTGTTTGCTTTGAATCTCTGTTTCTTTTTCCTCAGACTCTCAACTTCATCAGTTTCTGTTCATTTGAATCAATGCCCCTTTACATAACCTTACATGATTCACTTACCAACTCTGAATCTGTTCTTTGGATAGGTGAGCCATCATGTTCTGGTTTCATAATGGTTCTGCAGTTCTTGGTGTATGTGCTGAAGTAAAGTACACGAGAGGACACCTCTTGCAGACCCAACACTGAAAAATACTGTTTTATTTTTACATTTAATTATAATTCCAATTAAATAGCAATGTGAATTCCTTTAAAAAGGAAATACAGAAATCAAAACGTCACATTATACAAATACAGTATTCAGGGTGTAATGTGTAACATGTTTTACATCAAACCTAACCAACTAAATTATGCCAAACGTGATGTTTGTACATACTGCGCTGAAGGCCCAGCAGGAGCCACACTGCTTCTGATCCTTGACTTCAGTCACATATCCCTTATCCCTCCAATCAACACTGTCTGGCAGATCAAATCCTTCAGGCAGTCGGAGAAAAGCAGAGCCAGTTTGAGGCAGAGAAGTGTTGAAGAAACCAAGGGAACCCTGGAGAATCAGGCGTCTGTACTCTTCATTTTCCTGATAAAGAGGGGCAGAAGTTTCATTTATTAGGGTCTTTAACTAAACCGCATTCACGGCATCCTCACATGCTGATTACAACCAGAGACAATAATAACAGTTTGTCATAAATGCCAAGAGTTTAAAACAAAAAATATGCAGACACTATTTGTGTTTTTTTTATTCGTACCATGTCAGCAAAGTAGGTCATGCCAAGGCGGTAGGACTTGTTGCCCTGATCAGCCATGATGTTGTGCTCCAGCACCAGTCTGCGGTTGTTGAGCCAGATTTTCCCTGCGCTGAGCCTCCTCTACCGGGGAGTTGTAGGACCTTCCTGCCGGCAAAATAGAATTTATTTTTTAAATGGTCCAGTCAAGAAATTTCCCCTGATAAGATGAAAAACAAAAATGTATGCTGTAAACTTGTTATCATGTAGGCAAAGCACACATTCCTTTACTTAGACGTTTAGCTGTGTTGTGTGAAAATGAGTACACATTTAGCACACTCCAATTGTAAGCATCACAGGCAGTTTTTCCATAGAACAAAGATCTACTTTGTTCAACAACAGACCACGATAATTAGAAATAGCCGGATAAGAGTGTCTCACCAAACTGGAGTTTCCAGGCATCAAACTCTGTCATCTGGAGAGATGGTTGAACAGCTGGCCACGGCCAGAGCAGCAGCAGCAACCAGCAACAGCTTCATCCTGACTGACACACAGATCCCTTGCAGGAAACCACACAGGTCGAGATTAAACTCTTTCACTTCAGCTTTATCTCATAAACTTTCCTTCATTCTACCAATGTACCAGCTCTATTTCCTGCTTCCTTTGAATCTGTTTCTCTTCCTCAGACTCTTTCTGAACTTCACCAGTCTCTGTTTATTTGCATCAATGCACCTGCAGTACAAATAGTGTTTGCGCTTGTCTATCTGTGTGTTCCCTATTATTTCTGCTGTGGTTGCTTACCTGCCTCTGTCAAATTGATGTCAAGTTTGAGGTCTGTCCGCCTGTAGGTGATGTAGGGAATCTGTTCTTTGGATAGGTGAGTCATCATGTTCTGGTTTCATAATGATTCTGCTGAAGTAAATTCCATGTACAGCATACAACACCTTCTGTCCTTAGACCGTCATATCGTACAAGGAGTTACTTCCAAAGAAACCCCCAAATAAATGAGGATAAAACGGAAGAAACCTTAGGAAGAGCAACAAAGGAGGGATCCCTCTCCCTAGAAAGACAGACGTGCAATAGATGTTGTGTGTATAGATTAATAAATAATCATTTAGCCACAGCCACAACTCATGATCCAGGTGTAACCTTTAATACTGACAACCTGCCAGGTGAGAGACTCAAAAACTCTGAGGATGACGCCCTGGATGCTAAGTTAGTAACCTGCATTACTACATGCATTTATGGGACATGAGTGCATACATATAGAGAGAACATGAGTGCATTCAGATAACGAGACAAAAGAGAGGTGAAATGTGACATTTCCTCAACAGTATAAGCCTATAGCAGCATAATAAGGAGCTGGTCCAAGGCAAGCCTGAGCCAGCCCTAACTCTAAGCTTTATCAAAAAGGAAAGTCTAAAGCTTACTCTTAAAAATGGAGAGACAGTCTATCTCCTGAACACAAACTGGAACCTGGTTCCACAGAAGAAGAGCTTGATAGCAGAAGGCTTTGAATGTAATGTCCTCAAGGCATTCTTGAATTGTAATTTAATTGATTGGTTTTATCTGGCTGGATTGATTGATATAACTGAGTACCATTTGTCATGAATCTGCACAATACAAATACACATTAGTGTGTGTAAAGTTACCGATTAATTGTTTGATTCAGCAGACAAACAGAAAAATTGGTTTTCAGAGTTTTCCACCACCACAACTCCAACATTATTTGCTTTCTCTTGACCGAAACAATACACAAATACTTCCTTCTAATTTAACTCTGGATAATAACAAAAAAAAAGACAACGGATGGAAAATAACACAAACACGGAATAGCTGCTTTTTTGTCATTTTTTAGCCAATATATATTTTGCCCAAAAGATGGCAGTATTGCACATTGGAAGGCCAACATTTTTTCCATTTTTTTTCCGAGTTCCATCTTCCACTAAACGTTTTGCATGACAATGACAAATATCACAGGATGCTCTAATGAAGTTTTCAACCAAACAGATATTGTTGGTAACACTTTATTTTGATAGTCCATCTGTTGACACTCAACAACACAGTTTCAACAGACAAGTAACATGCATTCAACTAACTGCCAATATAATATAAGGTACATCTCAAGTGTTGATCTATAGATTTTACAAAAAGTGTCTGTTGACTGTCAACAGGTTTTTTTGCAACAGGTTATTAACCACTATTCAACCTTACTATCTGTAGATTGTGTCAGCCTCAAAATTAACAATCAACTACTCAAAATCAATCTTTCAGTTAAAAGTCAACAGGGTCATGTCGACTATCTGTTGATAATCTGTTGAGTCAAGATGTCAACTAAAGATTACATTAAGCATTAGTTCACGATCAACAGATAAGCAACTAATCTAGAGTTGACTATCAGCATACTTTTAGTAGGCATTCTCCACTAAGCGTTTGTAAGCATGTGTTAGGACTATCCAATTAAAGTAATAAACTGTTGAGAACAGTAGAAAGTCTATAACCTATCAACAGAACACATACATTCATCCACTAATTATATGCAACAGACATGGGAATAAAGCGAAATGTTTTGCAAAACTGATCACAAACACTGGATAACTGAAGTCAATACCAAGCTATAAAGCACAGTAAAACAAACACTATATGCAGCATATCAGAGAAAGAAGGCTTTTTTATTTTAAGAATATATACTACAAATATAGTAAAAACACTGAACAGTTCTGAAATGGTCAAAATAAAGTTTGAAACACATTATCTACCAGCTGGTAGTCAATACCAGGCAAACGAAAATCACTGCATTGCAGATTTGTACAGTTTAATAATTATAAATAAAATAAACAACGAAACTTGACCAACAGGAGAACATTACATTATTGATCTACCCTGAGACCCCCCCCCCCCCACAACAACAACGTTCAACCCACATTCAGAATTTCCTGACAGAAAAGGGGATGAGCTGTTTGTTGCTTTTCATTTCAACTATCTTTTCAGCCAGTTCACCAACAATTTTTTTCTGACAAAGTTGGGCTGATTTCAAAAGTGTGTATTTACCCTTGAACTGGTCTAGGACACTTTTATCCACCAGGAATACTTCTGCAATTGCTGCAGTGTCTTTCAGAGCATTTCTTGAAACTCAAGCTTTCTTGAAAGCTTTGGTCATCCTGAAGCCTCTCTGCACCAGTTTAAGGACACGCCGATATCTTCTCACGACATCTGAGATGGAAGAAACTGAAAAATAACGCTTCCACCTCAGCTTCAAAAGTTGAACATTGCTCAACTTTGAATCCTGAAAATCCTGAAAATCTCCGCTCTGCTGCCCACAATGCAGTTCGGCGAAAAGTGAGGCAAAGTGACGTCACCCCATTCAAAGTGAATGGGCAGAAGCGTTCCAAGATTTTTTAACGCTGCTGTGTGGACGGGCCGTTACTGCGTTCTGCTGTCATTTTCTGTCGCGCTAGTTTCTCTCCTCTCCTCTGATCTCTGTTTTCACCGAGGGCGGAGCTTTACACACAGAGGCGGCATTCAAACGATCTGCACTAACTTGTTGCTTTCCCTACCAATAACAGCTGCTGTTATGCCAAATTCACATCAGGCAGCAGCGAGGTGCAGATCGTCACATTAGGTGCGTTCACACCGGAGTACTTTTCCCACAATAGGGGCGTTCACACCAAGTACTTTTCCCACAGTAGTTCATGAGAACTTTAGTTCATGAGAGCTCTTTTAGTTCTGATGAACTAAAGCAGATCGCGTTCACACCAAAATGAGTTCCTGGGGGTGGATTAGGCAAATGAGCCGCTGACGTCACTTCTTCTTCTTCTGCTTTGGGTTTACTGGCAGGCCGCAAACAACTTCACGGCGAGCACAGTAGGTGGCGGTATGCACCTTAAAGTTGCAATTTGCCAAAAAACCGAGAGAAGAAGAAGAAAAAAAACTTCCGCTTCCGCTGTATGCTTCTGTTTACCTTCCGACCTCAGACACGGTATGGAGTTGACGTTTTGGTGGTCGTGTTATACAGCTTCGTAACTGAGTTATTTAAGCCAATAACTCAGCCACAAATACAAATACAGATCGACCATTCAAATGCAATAGAAATGCTGAGTCGGAGGCGAAGGCGGTTAAGAAGCCTTAACAAAAGGATTGGACGACGAAAGCACACGCTATGGACATGTTTCGCCGTAGGACAGCTGAGGATGATGGCCGTTATCACGCCCAAAGAACAGCAATGGTACGTTCATTAAATCACATTAATACTATCTAATGTAGGATTTATGGAGTTATGTAGGGCTAATTTGTGTCTTTGTATGTGTTCCAGATATGCGAATACTACGGAATGTGTCGTGTCCCGCGCTCTCTCTGGGTGAAC